TTGTCGTCCGAGAAGTATAGAGATCCTTCTATTTTATAAAGCGCTAACTTTGTGTGTCGGTTTGTATGTCTGTATGTGTGTGTATGTATGTATGTATGTATGTATGTATGTATGTATGTATGTATGTATGTATGTATGTATGTATGTATGTATGTATGTATGTATGTATGTATGTATGTATGTATGTATGTATGTATGTATGTATATGTATGTGTCCGTCCGCAAAATGAAGTAAGTGAGTGAGAAGCTCATGGGATAAACAAAAACCGCTAACAAATCGGGTAGCTTACAGGATTTGAGATATCAATGTTTTGTAGCAGGATAGTTGTGATAACACTCTTAGGGCTATATAAACACCTGCTTAGCACACTTCCGTTCATTCCACATGGTGCTGCAGTGGCAGCTGGAGGGCAGTGGAGAGAGGAAGGGAGGATGAGGAAGGGAAGCGAAAAATCTACCGTCATATCATGATTGTGTCCCTTCTACTGTATGAAACACCATTGTGTTGCATACGCGTCACTTCCAGGAGGTGTTGGTGTCACAGGAGGAAGGGACCATAGCGGAGGATAGAAAGCTTGCGCAGGAAAGGAAGGTCCCGGCGGTTGACGGGGGACTAATCTGGTATTATTCAAATAACTGGAAAGTTCTTTATAAGTCACTGGATATAACTTCGTTCCGCTTCACTAGCCAACTTATTGGTCTTAGCGGATAGCTGGACGATACAAAGTACTTTCGTCATAGTTCATCAATACTCATAAACATCCATCACTTTTCTAGGAACCGACGCAGTCTAGCGGTCGAATTGAGTTTTAGATAAGTAATACAATTACTTGGGCTGCTTATAAGCCCTCGGCGTAAACAACCAATATGCTCTGGATGTTGGGATAATTCAGTAGTCAAGTAACGTTTTATATCAGTGATGCGATAGAAAAACACCAATGCTTATCATATTTTCACAGACGCCTACCATTTAAAAAGCTCGGGCAGATTAGCGATCGAATGGATCACGACTACATCGCAAATAAATGGGATGTTTTTCTTATCCCAATGACGGGTCCCTGATGACCATGGTTAGATTCCGCAGGTTCGATTAGCCATTTCCATGTCCCTCCCCCTGAGGATATGTGCCGTCGGACGCGCCGAATTGAGAACGCCTCAGTGAAGCTTAACCTTTCAAAGACTTCTTATTAGCCCCCAATCCAACCCGTTAAACAGGTTCCGGATCCCCCATCCAAATATGTGTCGTTCGTTCCGGTTTTTTTTTTTATTCCCACCCCTGATTATCTGCGAAACAACGCCTTACTGCTCACTGGTCACGCCGCCCATCGTATTCTCGTGCACTTTCCAATTCTTTATCTGCTCCTAATCCTCTCCCTATCAACCTTGTTGATCACTTTTTCTGGTGCCTTGTGCATTCTATGTTTCCGTCCCCAACCCCTTAGGATTATATCTGGCAGAAAACCACGCCAAAATTGCTGCCTGCGCCTTGCCGCGAGTGAGTTTTTTGCGTGACATGTTCCCTTCCAACGCGCTTCTTATTAGCCAAGGATTAGGCTGTAATCACTTTCTAACCCACGACCACAAGTATGATTCGCGTCGCCAAATTTTACCATACATCAGTATCCGGTTTAGAGAAAGATCTCACTAGGCTACTGCTACCGGTTCGAGCGGCGATGCATTTCGTTGGGAAATTCCGCGTTGGCTTCCTTATCACAATTTTTGCAATGTTTTCATTTTCTTATCTCCGCCTTACCAGTATTTATATTTCCCGTCCCACTCCCTACATCATACTCTCTGAAAAATCAACTCCAGGTGTTCTGCTGGCACGCGCGCTACGAATTTCGTGACAAACACTCACAGACTTACACACACACGCACAGACATACTTAGCGAATTATTTGCAGTAGGATGCCGCACTCTGTAGAATGAGGTGTTTACCACTGCACTCACCTCGACACGCTGAGCTTGAACTTGCCTTCCATACCTTCTTGAAAATCCCTTAAAGGAAGTAATAAAGCAAAGAAACGGAGCTATCATACCCAGCTCTCCGGGAACGGTGCATCGCAGTCGCTATTTCCTACTTCTCATGACAGTGTGGACTTTCACAGCTCGCTTCCGTAAAACTTTTATAACTATTTTATAACTATTATTCAACCTGATTTTGTTGTCTGCACACTTTGCCTGAGTAAGCTTCTTTCGCACATAGGTCTGGAGTGTTTCCATTTACGCCGTCACCTCACATATCATTTTCGCCTTGATAGCTCACAAGGACATCTCCGTGGGATGGCGTTTGAAGAACTGTCGGAGGAAGGATTCGTAAATTCTCCCAGAGCATTGTTAAGCAGATACAAAAATCGTTTCTAGCTCGTCTAAGGACGAATGCATTTGTTGCATCGTACTGCAAATTCGAACACAGTTTCGGAGAACTGTGTTCTTCCGTAACTCCCTTTGGAGCATGTGGCCGGACCATTCCGATAACTTTTTCTAACTATAATGGTTAAGCCTATGCTCCACGCAGTGCACTTCTGCGACTAACTACACTTTTACCTCATCCACTTTCGCTTTGTCCATATCACCATATTTGCGTTTCACACTGCTATCACACCCAGTAGGCCCCTCGGAACAATTGCACGCATCTAAGCGAGGGATTACGGTAAGACTGGGTTGAGTTCATAGTGAAAACGGGGATGCAGAACAATGCGAGGAAAGCAAGGAAATCCGTATAGAACAGAAATTGGACCCTTCTCTTTGATCATTCATCTCCGACAATGGATGAGCCCGCAACGACCGGGGTCGTTTACACAAGTTGAAGCGATAGCCACTATCATGCCAGCAAGCACCATGCTTCCGATGATAACACATAGAAAAGTAATAGATACATCCTCGAAGTGGAATACTTCCTCAAATTGATAATGTGACAATGATGCTGCTGGCAACACACTGGTGGGAGGAGCACAGGCGGAGGCCTGGCTAGAAATAATCGGCAAGCTCAATACCGCCCCTGGGCCATGAAAGGGTCACATCTCACTCTCTTTGGCCCCTGACTACTGCTTCCAGTTGTGCGTGTCCTTCCACAATGCGCACACTTCTGATACCTCGTCCTAACGTCAATGTGAAGAGGAGCTGTGAGTACCACCACTCCCTCCTCCTGATGGGCTTTTGAATTTGGAGGTGTTTACGTGACTTTCATAACTGTGATAAGGACATATTCGTGAGGTAATGAAAACAAGTCCACGTCATTTATGCGGTTGCGTTCCCAGCACTATGTTCTTCTTCAAGAGGGGTAGAGGGAAATCGCAGGGCTCCGGTAAATTCTTCTGATTACAGCGTGCTGCGAAATGACGAAACCTAGTACACCAACTTCCTGCTGATTTGTAGTCTCTAGCGTTCCAATACCGAATTCTGTATTGTTTTATTTTCAGCGGAGACCAAACTCGAATTGACACAGAGAGAAGAAACACCGTGAGTCTCTATTCTTAGTGTCAAACACATGCGAAAGGTGCGCATCTTTGTGGTTTTGCGAAGTGAGCCTGCAGTTGGCAACCAAAAACAAGCCGATGGTTTCTCCATCGTTGTCCGTCGGCTTGAGGCTCTAGCGTAGCTCATTAATCTAATCATATAAAATAAGACGAAAAAATGAGTATCACACAATTACAGGTCAAGATTAGCTCGACGAAAGGGAAAACGACGCGGTCGCGGAAGAACACGGGTTCAAGGAAAGACCGTCGAGGAAGGCTCAAAAAGGGTCGTTAGGAAACGGACTGGTCAGACAATGTGAGTGCTTTATAATGACTTGCGAAAAGAGATCGTGTTATCGGTCGGTGGTTTCGCGATCAGGAATCCACGGAAGCAGATGGCAGAAAATGAGCCGCTTATCACGGTGAAGCGACGTGCACTACTCTTATGGAGCGTTCATGGTTGGCGACTGTACGTGCGATTAGGCGATGATTCAAAATGAAAAGTATACGAATCGATTAGGCGATTAGGCGATAGGCGAGTAGGCGAGTAGGCGATTAGGCGAGTAGGCGAGTAGGCGATAAGAGAAGGATACGTATTGATTTGTTGCTCCGCCCATTGAGCGATCGCCTAATCGCCTACTCGCCTACAACGCTCTATGGGCGGAGCAAACCAATCAATGTATGTAGTCTTCATTGCCTAGTTGCCTAATCGCCTGAACGTACGATCGCAAACTATGAACACCCCATGAGCTCGCTGCCTCGCGAGCAGCAATCCCACGTATCGAGGACCGAACTATAAGCAGGAGTAGTGGGACTAGACCAACTGCGCTGTCGTAGTTAGGTAGCGTCAATGGGACTTGTCTTGCGTGCGCCGCGTCATGACTTACCATGTAAAATTTGTGAGAAACGAGCAGCTTCAGTCATAAACGTGGATAGCGACTCAGCTGCAGCACTGGATTACGATGCAGCAGCACCATAGCACTTGAAAGTAGATCGAAAGATAGCAATTGGTGCAGCTCCGCCGAAAAACAGCTTGTCCAAAGACGCCTTATCACCATCTCAAGGTGGAATGCTGCTGAAAGGGAATGAGCTCTGTTCGGAGCATAATCGACTGTCTTCTACTCTCTTTTTGCATATCTTTCCATTAATTACTTCAATGCTGAACAGTTTTACACACTCATTTTATTCCAGGGCTTAAACTTAATGCTATCTTTGATCTCGATGCATCGGCAAATAAACTCCAGTGTTGTCTTATGGTGCAATATGGTATTACGTAGGACCTACGGGTGCAAGCTGGCGCGGCAATTCGGGAGCGTGGATTGCCGCGCGACGTGCCACATGTCGCACGCGGTGTACGGCAAAAGCTAAGCTGTGCAACAATGTAGGACATGTCTCGCTCTCGCAGCTCATGAGCGTAGAAGCGGCGTGTCATGTCACTGGGGTCCGTTGCAGAATTTCCTCGCGGCGAACCAGTCTACGCGGCGGAGAGTCTCGCTCGCTGATATGCGCTCGTCCCGTCTCCCGAGCAGGGCCAACCTGACGTTCGCACATTTTCAGAAATTTCGCGACCCCCCTCCTTTAGGGGGTCTCGATGCGACCCCACCACCACCATGAGACTCAGGAGGCTCCCCTCTACGATCCCTTCCCCTTCTCCGACCACCACCCTCACCATCATGGGTGATGGGTGTTTCTATAGTATTTGACTTCCAAACCAATCGGCACACCCCCCCCCCCAACTCCGCCCACTTCTCCTCCGCGTCGAGCGGGGAGGGGGGTGGGTGATTATTTAGACTTAGTTCCTCCCGTGCTGTTGAGCACATCGGGCGACGAATTCTTTCCACTGCTGACGATTTTGCGCAAGTGTTTCACATTCATCCCTAGAAACATCCATGGTCTTTAGGTCATTATCGAATGTTCGTCTCCACGTGTTTCTGGGACGGCCCCTTGCTCTCTTGGCTCCTGGAGGGACCCAGTACATGGCCCTTCGTGGAATGCGGTGTTGTGGCATACGTAGGATATGTCCAGCCAGTCGGAGTCTGCGCCGTGCCACAATCACGTGGAGGCTGCTCATACCTGTGCGGCGTAGGACTTCCTGATTAGTGATGTGATCTGTATACCGTATTTGATATTTGGATATTTGGGGGGGGGGGGGTGATACAGGGGGTATAATTGCGCAATGAAACGACTAATTTCCTCTCCTCCTACCTACCCTATCTCACGCTGTGGGCCAATTACATCCACAAAATCCCTTGAAAAAGGTCAATCACCATTCACCTAACTAACTAAATACCAATCCCACTCCCACTCAACTCCCTCCTGAATGCGACCCTCCTCACTAAAAACAACCACAAATGCGACCCCCTCACTAAAACCAACCACAAATGCGACCTCTCCTTCAATAGTGCGAACGCACGGTTGACCCTGCTTCCGAGTGCTTATCGTTTCTTTGCCGCAGCACAGACCACCTTTCAAGAGGAGCAGTGATTCCAGTGCTTCACCAAGTATTCAATCTTTTCTGCACTAACGGTGTCATTCTCAAGTTTACCTTCATACTCGAGCAAAAGCAATTAAAGTTTCCTGCAATTTTTTGAGTAAACTAGTTCCTCATGTTGTGGACAAAATCAATGTCGCCAAAAGTCCTAATCATTTACCAATAACTGCCACTTCTCTTGCGAACGTATTTCTCGTTCAGTAATTGGAACTGCTTTCAGGGAGGAAGACACGCCTTCTATGCAACAGAAGTCAGTGAAACAATTACCTTATCGACACAAAACATCTCACGTTGTCACAATTCCATCACAACTTGATTTAGGGCATCAATTCAAACAGCAGCCAATTCTCAGAGCATACAAGGAAAGACTGCCGAAGAAGTATCGCGCCGTGTGTCAAGAGCTGCAAAACGTGCTCAGGTGGAAATAATGATTCCACGAATTGGGCTCAGCTTTACGTAAAGGGAATTCGATCAGTGCTGTTACAGGTGAAAGTGTTCGTGGAAGAGACGTTAAAAAAAGGAGTGAAAGGTTTAATTGCTGAATTCAAGTCACTTAAACGGGTTAATGATTTCACGAAAATGACTGAATTTGTGGCACAAAACGCTGAGGGAAGGAACCGCTATAAGGTGGGTGACACACGCTCCAACCACACTACTACATTGCGCACATGGCGCAACATCAGAGTGGGTTTGAAAGGATTTCAAGTCATGATCATAGTGGCAGTTGATTTTCGATCTTCTCTTGGTCAGACGAGACATTGGTAAAAATACGAAGCGAGTTTTAAAATGAAGGGTGGCAAAACATCGTTAATGAAAACATGCATGATGATACCCACCTACTTCGTAGTGGCGTTCACGAGTGCTATACGCAATAAGTAGGAAATTTCGAAGACACTACTGTAAAGAAAGAAAAAAGAACGGAAAGAGAACCAAGCAAAAAGATGAAGTAAGTCAAAATAGGTGCAGAAGATAGAAAAATCAATACCATTACGGACCTAGATCATTCCAGCTTCGTCGCATAAATTACACGGATAGGGCGTTAATGCTAACGGGATTGCAACGGTCGACCCACGTTGCAACCAGAGTCAACCCTGCGTTGCGCAGTTTTCAACGCAGTTTTGCCCGATTAGACACGTTCTCTCGCGCGAACATTCACACTCGCATGCTCG